ATTTAACTGAAACTCGGTCTAGGAATGATGAGCTCATGGTTCTGACAAACTTAAGTTAACATTATTCTTAACAATTTTGTACTCAAATTGGTACATATTTCAACAACAAATAAATACTGTAGGCCCATGGGCGTCTTGTTTCAAAGAGGCTTTGATTTATTGTCATCAGTCATCTTTGATGTCTGAAGAGACATTCCTGTGTAAAATATTATGCATTACAAATATTGTCGTACATACATGTCATAAATTATCTAGTTAAATTTACATAAATGAGCAATCAATTCATTATCTGGAGTATTAAAACATCATTATTTTTATAAAGGATCTGTACCTGATGTCTTGTTTGAACATCTGTTATTCGCAGATAGAACCTTGAATTAGTTATTTTCTTTCATCCAATAATATGAAAACTATTTCTCAAAACAAGTTACGTACCAAGAAAATATCATTGTCTAAACTAGGAAAAGTATGATTGATTATCAAATGTTGATCAATTGTGAAATGGATCGTATTAAATTGATTTACCACTTCCAAACATCAAAACACTAGTTTACGGCAGTATAAAGACAAGTTTTTATGACTTGGTATCACAAGCATCACTTCTTTTTTTGACATCCCAGATTAAAATTGTCTAGTATTGGTGTAGCCGACAGCAACAGCATTGCCTACCTTGAGGTCTGACCCTTTACTATAGGTCTGGAACACTTTGAACACCTGTACAGCAAGGTCTTTCACCGGTAGAACTGCCAGTGCACACACCTGTCTGTGCACACGCCCCTTCAGAGCCTGGAAACACAGAGCTATATATCAAAAATTGAGATGGGTAGAGCAAACTAAATCATGCATATACAAAATTTATCAAGTAAGTATGCAAAATTTAAAGGATTTTCATGTTTTCATGTACTTCAAGCAAAACTTCATAGGTTATAAATAACCCAATAGAATTTAACTACTTCAACAGGGTGCAAATCTTAAATGTATCCTCTCTGATTGGATTACTCCTAAGGTTTCAGTCTCATAACTTTAATTATGTAAAACTGCAAGTTTATCAAGATTATACTGAACATATATTATGCAGAACGATGATCAAGACAAAGTTTAACATTCAATTAAGAAGAAATATTTGAATGAAGAGGACTTTTTAATTGGATGAATGGGATGGGTGTTTTAATTTGAAGAATGAAAATGACTACCAGTATTTACCTGAATGTAGAGAACACATTAAGGGGGAATGCAAGTTTTACCTGGATAATTGGGAGGACAAAAGCCAGAGTTTTGCCGCTGCCTGTGGGAGCAGACACACAGATGTCACTTGGCCAATAACCTGCCTTCCCCACCATTCCTCCAACACTCAGTGTATCCAGCAGCATTGGAATCACCTGCATCTGCACTGAAATAAACACATTGTTATTAAGTGGATGTACAGTCTGTCAGAAGATCCTTAGGAATGAAGATATATTTTGATGAAAATTTTACAATGGTACAGACAGTGGAGTTTTTTACCCCTTCCTCTCCAAAGTGGAGGGATCAAAACTTAAATTTTGAACCATGAAGTGCTGTTAAAGCAACGTTACCTGAAAATGTTGAAAGAGGTTGAATAATTTGTATGTTATACTTTTAGTATACGGTTAAGAATGACTCAAATTGATATTTTTGTGTTGTTTAGACATGTGGTATTTTATTTCCATTTCACTGTGAACACAATCAC